CGACGAGGATCGATGTAACGTGTCCAATCATAGTTCAAGGCAGGGTCAGGAAGAAGAGCCTCGGATCTTTGGCGCGAGGAGCACCGTAATGAAGCGAAATGGATTGGGCCGCCGATCGGCGTGAGAGTGCGTGTACGCGCTCGCAGACTCACACGCGCGTGTTCCTTCCTCTCGGAGCGACGTGAGCGTACGCGCGATACGAATTTGGCGAACAGCGATAAATAATGATGATCGATGGCCGTTGAGAATTTCGTATTGTGCGAGTAAAGATCGCGATTACCTCGCAAATTAGACGTAGCCGGGCTTACGGTTCCCGGGACTTATTAACATATGATAATCCGTTCCCCGCGCGCGCGCGCGCGGATCGTTTCGTAGGATCAGCGACCTATCGGCGCGGCCGGGATAACAATCTACGAGCTATATCTACGGTCAACCTCTCGTAACAACCGTTTCTACGGGCGTTACGAAAGAAACTCTCTTATCTCGCGTGGTATCTCGGATTAGTCTATTACGTCAGAACTTGTGTTCTCCGATCGTCACTTTTACACGCGCCTCGATATGATTGCGATAGTAAATTTCCTGTAATCACCGAGCTGCGAGCTTCCCCGAGCGTGACTCATCCTCTCTTTCATGTGCGATCGTTCGCGCCCGAGCGAGCACAAATTCGAGACACGCCACTCTCCCCGCGAGTTTTCGTCAAATTCTCCGGAGCACTCGACGAACCCTGCACCTGCCCCGCTCTTAAACGTCCGTGCGCTCGTCTTCGGACGATCTTGACGATTAATAGGTTCTCGAGAAGAAAACTTGCGAAAGGCGCCGCTGCTATTCATAATAAAATGCGACGGATCTTACCCGTAATATCCATAATTCAAAAATGATGATTGTAAAATGACGTTCCGTCCGGATACGAACGAGCGGCCGACGTAAGGACTTATTATGACAGTCTGATAGATGCCGAGACGCGTGTTTGTTGATGCCTCCCCAAGACCCCGATTTCAGGTAACCGCTCGCCATAACTTTTCCGAGGCGGCGCGCCGTTTCCCAAAGAATCGCACCTGTCTTCCGGAATGCGTCTGCGGTTTCTCGCTCGAACGGTCGAGCGGAGAGCCCGCGGGAGGGGAAGAAAACTCTCTCTCTCTGAAAAGTGCTCGAACCGGTAATATGTACACAGGATTTAGCTTTTTCCCGGTCTTCCTGCCTCGGCCCCTCGACGGCGGAGACCGGCGGTAAGGTCGACGGCAACCAATCTTTGCGAAGCACTTTCATTTTCGTGATGCGTTGCTCGAGACACTCGTACGTATACACGTTTCTGGTCAGCTTTGCTCACTACCGCTTTACCCACTACCTTACATCCATTTAATACCTCCATTGTGCCGTGCTCTCATGCGAGGCTGCTTTGCACACGGCACGGAGAAAGAGACGTGGACCAAGGAAAGCGGGAGAAAGAGAGAGAGGGAGCGGACGCGCGGATAAGATGTGTAACAAACGGATCGCGGGTCAACGATCAAGGACCGAGCCGGGTTTGTTTGAGGACGATTTAAAGATCTCCCTGTACGAAGCGTGACTCGACTTTATTAAAACCGGCCCTAAAGTTTGCTCTTTTTTATTTACCCCGCGTTGCCTCCCTTTATTAGTTTCTCTTTCGTCGCTATTTAGAAAATGCGTTGCGCATCGTGTCGCACGTCTCCCGTACAGACTTTGAGTAAAATTTTTCAAGCGTAAATATCAGATTGCGTCAACCCGTAATCTTTCACATTTGAATCTCCTTGAGGAATGTTGGGCGCATAGGGAGGATACATAAACTAGGCTGAAATGACAGATCGAAGCTTTACGGATACACGGGCGCCTGTTTAATCGCCCGTGACGGGGCAGAAAAATCAACGCTTCGACGAATAACCGCTCGCCGTATCCGTTTTGTTTCCATTCCTCGAATTATCACGGCTTGCTGCCGCTATTATTTCGACTTGGCGAGCGAGGGAGTGAGAGCACGCCATTATTAATACAACAAGCGAGTGGCCTAATGGTAGTCATTTATCCAATTAACAAACGAATGTTAATAAATCAGCCGGCGGTGAGTACGCGTAAATGCAAATGCGATTTCTTTTCAGGGGAACGCATTGCGTGAGAGTAATCCGCGCGCTATCTAATCATTGTTAAACGTTTCGCGATAAACCAATGAAATGTCATGTCGCAATATTGCATGTGCGTGCCGCTCTCGTTTGCTAAATCGCTGTCATTCGCACCGGCGGAAATTAATCTGTGGAACGCCGTCGATCCCGGCTTAACGAGGACCAATCCCTTATCTCGGGTTTCGGCGATGACCGCGTTAATTACGAAACAAAAAGAACCGGGTAGGGAAGCGTAATACAAAATGCAAAACAGGCAACGGCCTCGTTCCTATCGTATATATTAACGATTCGACGCTTTAGTGGGAGGACGGACGGCAACGTCCCGGCGCCATGGGCCCCGATAGAATTTGAAGCATTACATTAGTCCGACTAATGACCGACATGACTGTCCGTGGGCCGGTAGATACCGGTTCTTCGAGATCTCCGAGAGGGAGCATGTGCCCCGGAGATCGTTGCACACGGGAGAGCAATACGGAGGACAATGATCGCCTCTCCGCGTTGAGGGCGCCACGTACTCGAGCGCATCCGCAGATGCACGCGCGCGGACACGTCGTGAGCTCAGGTATCGAAGAGCGCAAGGGATTTCGTTTTCCCATGGAAATTGTCGGTCCTTTGTGGGAAAAAGAGAAATCTTTCGGAGTTGTAGGATTAGAAATCGGTCTTTCCGGTTCTCCAAACTCCAAGCTCTGAAAAAGAAATCGCCAAGACCCACGTTAGGATCTTAAGCCACTTAAAGATGAGTCGCAAAGTCATTTTCAAGGGTGGACGGGATGGAATAACGACACAGAAAATTCTTTCAACTTTTCCAAAATTTATTTCAAGCTTCTTCCCCCGTCAGCCGAGATATTTCATGCCGCACAGAGAGAACAAAATAGTCATTTTTGGCCTAACAATGTACATTGTTAGGTCAACCATAACTTACGTTGGAGGAATTATAAAAATTGTCGGTCCTTTGTGGGAAAAAGAGAAATCTTTCGGAGTTGTAGGATTAGAGATCGGTCTTTGCGATTCTCCAAGCTCCAAGCTCTGAAAAAGAAATCGCCAGGACCCACGTTAGGATCTTAAGCCACTTAAAGATGAGTCGCAAAGTCATTTTCAAGGGTGGACGGGATGGAATAACGACACAGAAAATTCTTTCAACTTTTCCAAAATTTATTTCAAGCTTCTTTCCCCGTCAGCCGAGATATTTCATGCCGCACAGAGAGAACAAAATAGTCATTTTTGGCCTAACAATGTACATTGTTAGGTCAACCATAACTTGCGTTGGAGGAATTATAAAAATATGGTTGGGTCCAAAAATGACTATTTTGTTCTCTCTGTGCGATATATAAGCGATACAGGCACCTCTTTTTTTTAAATGTTTATCGAGCAGAAGGCGATTTTAGATTTATCAGAGAACACCGTCTCCCCGATAATCCCACGTTTAGACTCGGCAGGGTTTACTGGGATTCCGTTCCGGAGCGGCGTGCGTTTCTCTCTTTCTCTCGCGAGCGCAGCGAAAAGGCGGGACCAGAATTAGGAGGAGACACGACGCGCGCGAGATCGTAACAGGAAACGCGAACGTAACGCCGATCGTAAGTCACGGGAGCACTCTCGCTCTTAAGAGCCCCTGCAGAGAGCGCGGGGAAGGAAAGAACGGAGCGTCGCGACACGTGCGCGCTAATTCATAGCCCGCGAGCAGGGCGAGCCGTGTCGCTTCCTCCCTCTCGCGGCTTAGTCACCTCGATTACGTTCCGGAGGCCCGGAAATTTCAGACGCGGCGGTAACGAGACTCCAAGAGAAGACGCCGTCGACGTAATATTCGGCGTGCCGTCGCGGCGCCTCGCGCTGCCGAAATTAAATTCCTGCTGAGTTTTGTGCGAGACCGCCGGGGCGAATTCGTCCACGGCGGTTGCTCTTCTTAATGAGTGTCAAACTGCCCTCCCCCCTCTCTCTCTCTCTCTTCTTCTTCTTCCTCCTTCGGCGTTTGAGCTGGACTCGTCGGCAGTCGTCGGGGCCGAAATAGCGGCCGGCGTGACGGCGGAGCCTGTTTGATCTGCTTTGTGTCAGTCGCGTGTCCGTGCATGAAGCAACAAGCCAAAAAAATATTGAAGCGAGGCCTTTGACTTGCGAGAAACCCCCGTGAAAATCTCGCGAGGCTCTCCGTACGTATTCATTCCCGTTTGAAAAGATGACGAAAAGCCCGACGCGCCGATGCGTCAGGATAGAGACGACTAGGGCCCGGTCTCACCAAACGTCGCTTAACTTTAATCTTAGTTTAATTCACGGCTGTCTCTTTCTAAAGCTCAGCTAAAACTTAAGCGACGTTGGCGAAACCAGGCCTTAAGCGTCGTTCTCCACCTGGCAATAAAATGCGACACGTTGGTATCGTGCTAAACGCATTCATTCCTCGCTCGTTTTCGCAGAGATAACAAACGTTGTCCCAGTTTCGACTGGAACTTTGCTCTCACTCTCAGATTCGAGGTCACATTCCGCGCGTCTTGAATCAAATGCGACACCCGTCGTAAAATTGCACCTTTGCTCCGCCGGCGCGTCTTCGAAGTCGCGGATCTAAAATATAAAAAAAAAACCCCCATGTATATGTCACTGTGCAACCGCGGCGAACCGCACGCACTTGTACGCGGCGGAAAGAAGGGGGAGGGGAAAGAGCGAGCGATTCTAAGCCGACGTCTCGCTCGCGAGAGGCGTAATGCCGACGTTGTACTCTTGCGAGAATCGCGGAGCCCGGCGGTGCAATCGCGGGGAGGCGCGCGACGCGACGCGACGCGACGGCGGGGAGCCGAGCGGCTTCGGGCGGCTTCGGTCGGCCTCGCGCGGCTCCGCCGGCGCTCGGCTCATCCCCACCCCGCCGCCGCCGTCAGCCGAGTCGGCCGACGCGAGACGAGCGCTCGGCCGACAGACGCGTCCGCGACACCGTGCTGCGTGGTCACCGTTACGCTCAGTCCGCCGAAAAGCGAGCCGGAGTCTCGCCGAGAGGATCATCGACGCCTCTCCCCTCGGGCGCTCGCGCGTGCATACGTGCTCCGACGACCGTACTCGCTCGGACCGCGCGGATTCTCGCGGCTGCGATAACGTAATTGGACGGACTTCCGGAGCTCCGTCCCGGTGCCTCGTGGGAATACAGTCGGGAGTGCGACTTGGACTACACGGCGGCGAGTGCGATTCGCGCCGACACGCCACAGTCGGAGGATAATACTCGAGTGTTGTGCGCCCCCCGACAGAGGGATAATACCGTGAGATCGTTGAGATCGAGTGTGAGTGCGCGCGCGCGCGCGCCACGGAGTGAGGATTTACCTGTGTGTTGCTTGGAGTCGCGCGGGAGCACCTGCGGGATCGACGCCGACGGGCTCTCTCTCTCTGCTCGGCGTCTCGCGCGATCTCGCTACGGATATGTGGAGGTACGAGACGGTGCGCTTGAAAAGTGCCGCGTGCGCGCTGGCCTAGCTCCGTCTCGTCACGGAGTACTCGTTTCACGCACGCTCCGCGCGTTCCTCTCGACACCTGCCGCCGACGGCGGGGGAAAAACCGCGCGGCGGACCTGGGACATGCCGAGTCGCGCCGTCGCGCGCGATCGCTGACCGTGCGTGCCGACGGCGTCGGGCCGCCGCGGATCACCCGAGGAGGACGTCACCGATGAACCACCCGGCGGGCTGCGCCCCCGACGAGAGAAACGCTGGCTGGCTCCATGGGACCGGCGCCACTTGGGACACCGTCGACAACAGCGCGCCGAGTGACGCGGCTTAAGTGCGATCGCCCGGACCTTCTGCCCTCGCGCGCCGAGGATCGCCGTGGCTCGTCGCACCGGACGCTCCGGGACTCGCCGGCAGCCGCGATGACGGCGTGAGCGCGGCGCGCCAAGTGCCCAAGGATCGCCCCCGCGAGAGGAGGTGGAGGAAGCGACGGATCGCCGGGATACGCCGGGCAAGAGGAATATACCTAGGCTAAAGTGGAGTGTGGATGTGGTGGAGGTGCGACAACAGTGGTGGAAGAAGTAGGTGGTTGTGGACGACCGCGACGGGGGGTCGCGGGCGAAAGTGCTACCCGGGTGCTGTGCCTCGCGGTTCGCGCTCGTCGTCGTCGTTGACCGAGCACGGCCGGCCTGAGTGACGGTGCCAAAGTCCCGTCGTCTCGTCGTCGTTGTTACCATGGTTTCCACGTCCTTCGTGACCCTGGTGTTCCTCGTGTGCCTGCAAACGGTGCTACTGTCGACTGTGAGCAACTGCGCCAAGACGATCAGCATGTACTGGAACACCACGAATTCCATGTAAGTGCGCGGCGTCTGAGTTTTACGCGATTCCCCGTTCATTTCCCGGCGACGTGATCCGAGGATCGATCGCGTTGATCTCCTCCAAGCGAGAGAACCTTTGTGCGGATTAACGAGAAATGAGACGCATTCGGCGAGGATTACGCGATCGATCGCGAAGAGCGCTCCAGCGGATGATCAGTAACGAATTAAATCCCGATCTACAATGTGTCCTTTGTGACTGGAAACGTTCTACTTTGTGCAGGCAAATCGATACGCTTCAACATTTGTCGACAATGTACGATTGTGCGATGTGCAAAGTATCGGATTTTTAAACGTATTCATTTGGCTGTAAAATACAATGGTTTTGGACGCGAAGAGCAAACTGTAGATCAGGCTTAAATCCCCCCGCGTCGGACTACGCATGGAAGTTTGAGAATTGCCGACCGAGGACCGGAACTCGATCAATCGGATCTCGTTTCGTTTTCCATCGGTCGAGTCCTCGATCTCCGATGCGCGATTCGACGAGTCTCTGGCTAAAGTTCTGGTTCGCGCGAGCAATTTGTGCTCGCTTGAAGATGCCGCCTTGCGAAAATCGCGACTTTTCGTGCCCTCCGCGAGACATCTCGATTGTCGAACGAAGTATGGATCCCCCAGTGAAGTGGAGCAGCCGCGATTAGATTGCCCTTAAACTGCAATTTAATTACGCTCCGGACTGCGCACGTTCGCTTGAAACATTAACGACTATCAGGAATTTGATTCGCCGAATCGCGATCGTTCGTTCTCGATTCTAAATATGGAGCAAGGGATCAGATAGCGTTACGTGCGCGGGAGGGGAAATATAGGTCTCGTTTCATAATCCGCGTATTTCCATAAAGAACGCGGCGCATTCGTGCGAGCGGATTTGGTCAGAATTCGAATTTTGCTCGACGCGGGACTCTCTCTCGTTCTCCGAAATTTCCGTAAATCCCGCGACAAGTTTCTTTTCCCAGGGGTGCATCAACATTTTTCTCTTTCTCTCTTTCTCTCTCTTTCTCGTCGCGTCACGGTGTTTCCTTTTGTCGTTAACGAGTCGCACGAGCGAGGAGAAGCGTATCGGCGTTTGGCGCGCGTGCCAAGACGTTTAAAAGTCACCGGGGTGTGTTTGCGAGCGAGCGTTTTGCCGGTCGAATCGATTTCTCACGGCGGAACCGGCGTCGTCGTCGTCGTCGTCGTTTCGAATAACAGTCATCCTCCTCCCGTTCCACGTAGGGGTCTCTCTCGCCCTTTCTCTCTCCACTTCCGGCGAGCTTTTATCGCGCCGGGCGTGGTATCGCGTCTGCCAAAATTGCAGCAGCGCCAGTGTGTGTACGTACGTACGGTACGACTTTAATGCGCCGCGCCGGCGAATTGGCCGCTCCCCCCTGCCCCCCTTGCCCCCTCCCCTTCCCCGAGCGCGGCGTTTCCCCGTGACGTCCAAATTGCAGGCGATCGCGGAGAAAAAGAGAGGCGGAAGCGACGTGTCAGAAACTGCGCCGGGATTATGGCAGGCGCAATATTGTGGCCGATGCCGCGGTCGCGCGAGAGCGTGTTTGCGCGCGCGGCGGCGCGCTCGATGCAGATCGCAGGAGGAGAGTCTCGGTGTGTAACGGTAGTGGTAGCCAATCCCCGCGCGATTGACGAAAGAGAGGTAATTTTGTTTTGCCGCGGTAAGTCCGGAACTCTTGCCGATATTGAAAATTCCGGAGTCGAAAGTTGGATATTTCTGGAACTCGGGGAAATTTCCGCCGGTGCCGCCGCCGCGCGCGAGCGCAAGTTGCGAGTTGCGAAACTGAAAATTTCCAAGAGTCGGGGATATCGCGATATTTCCACGCGCTGATGATTTCACGCGCGTCAACGATCCCGGATACCGTCGAATACCTGGGATTCTCGCGCGCGCGCGGCATCGCCGCGACTTCCGGGCCGCGGGAATTCTCGAAACGCGTTAAGAATTTCGCAGGTCGTACGCGGCAGCAGCGAATCTCGCTTAATCCCGGGATTCCTCGAGGGATATCTCGCCTCGAGGCCCGAACGACCCACCGTACTGCTAAATGCCTTCCCTAATGCGACACATCTCTCGCGGCGTGCAGCCTCTTTAGCGGTAATTGATCGATAAGAACGGCCGAGGAACACGACTCTCGTCTGGCGGCGCGCAAAGGCGCGACGAATCGCAAATGCATCCGCGTACGTACGTAAGCGTGCACGCGCGTAACATTGTGACCGACTTCGTAACCTGGACCCCTGCGCCGTTCGCTTGCATAACCGCGCGCGCGCTAAGGTTAACCGCTGCAATCTCGTAACGTTTTTTCCCCCCTTTTCGCTGTATAAGGAAAAACGCGAGTACCTCGTTACCCCCGTTGATTTCTCTCGTCTGGCGTGAGGTGATCCGAGTGAAGCTGGAAACACGCGAGAGACTTGAGAATTTCATCCAATCGGGAGTTTCAGCATTGCTTCATCAAGTTTCAAAACGGCTGCTTACATTTTTGATTGTCATTAGTTACGTCCCTTAAGTCTTACAATTAGTGTTTCAATTTTTTCGTATTTGGGCCGAGGGGGAAACCGCCGAGGGCATTGTGCTGTAGAGATTTGCGACATTACTGGGCATTACTAGGCATTTTTGGGCATTAGTTTGGACATTAGGCCTTGCTGGGGCATTATAAAGATAAAATAAGATAATAAGATAAAGTAATGCCCACTGGGCATTAGTGGGCACTCGTGTACAAGATTTTGATCAGTGGCTTCCCCCTCGATTTGGGCCTTGATCCGCGAGAGACTCTTGGCCCAGGTACGCGATAAAATTTAAGTACACGGAGAGAATTTTCTCTTAAAATTTATCCTGAAAATCATGTAATCGTGGGACAATACGGCATTTCGAAGAATTTTATGAGTTTTTGAAATTTCAGAAAACTCACATAAAAGTTCTTGAAGATGTTGTCTCACACAGTTGAAAATTCGTGTTAAATTTAACAGATGTCACATGTCCCAAACGGTTCACACAAAGTTTTGTGTTAATTTAACATAATATGGATATGTTAAATGATCACACCAATACTCTGTTAATATTTTGACACAAAATAAATGCGAATCTTAAAATAATTTAAAATAATAATTAAAATAAATTTTCTGTAAAATTAATATATTTTTAATGGCAAAATGAATTTTTAAAAAGGTAATTTTTACAGATGGAATAAGTGAAATGACGGTTCAAAATTACTCTCGCTTATGTTATATAAAATAAAAGCAACATTTTATTCTGTAAATGTTAACAGATAAATCTTGTTACTAATAATATAGAACATATGTATTGTGTAAGATTAAAAAGTAAGTACACATTGTGTTGTTTTAACATTTCTTTTCAGTTATTTTAATAATTTTATATTTGAGGTCAATTAACACAAGAGCAATATGTCCAATTAACACATGAATGTGTTAAACATTTAATACAAAAATTTTAACCGGCATTTTTTAAACAAGAAAACACAAATTTTCCCACTGTGTACGATTACATGATTTTTAGGGTAAATTTTAAGAGAAAATTCTCACCGTGTAGTAAGATTTGAGACTTAAGAAAAGTGACCAGTAATAGTCGAGAACGTAAGCAACCATTTTGAAAGCAATGCTGAAAATTGAAAAATCGATTGAAATTCGCAAATCTTAGGTCTCATTGTTTAAGTTTGATCGTTTCCGGCTCATGTCCCGTCTCCGTTCGCTCGTGTGCCACTCATGTTTTGCATCCCGCAGACCCGCCGATCACCTGACGACGTCTCCATTTTTGTGCGCGGCGCGAAAAGAAGCCGTCCGATTTCCTCCCCAACTTGGGCTCCCTTCGATTAACGATCGCAATTAACGTCGATTGACGTTCGATCGTTCCGACCACTGCTCTCAACATCATACCTTCCGTTTCCCTTGTATCATATCCGATCTAAAAATCTCAATCGCTTTAATTATCGAGCGAGTCGCGCACGTCCGTTTTCTTGCTTCGTTCTCGATCACGATTGCCGATTCGCGTCGCGAAACCAGCCAGCCGATACTTGAACGTCCGCCGTTTGATCTCGCTTGTAGGCAGATTAATTTTTATCTCGACTCAATGAAACAGGAGCGTGGCCGTTTCACCGTGTTTGGGATCGGTTGCCGGTGGCGCAGCGCGAAATCCGGGTGTTCTATTCTCCGCTTACGAGGCCAACGTTCTACCTGACTTTGACGTTGGCGCGTGCATCACGAGCCAGTTACGAAGCTACGAAACCCCGCGAGCGAACGAGTGCGTGAGGGAGCGTGAGGGAACGGAGCGGGGCGGCTCTCGGGTACGTGCGAAAATCCATTTTGCGCGCAGGAGAGGGACGCTGTCAGGCCGTCCTCCTGCTCGTGGGACGGTACGAAGGGGCAGTAAAAAAGCGTGCGCCTCCTTCGCGAAGGCCGGGAAGAAAAAAGGTCCCGGACGCGCGGCGAGAGGGGTGGGGATACGTGACAAGGCGCAAAAAAGGTGCCCGGGCAAAACGGGAGGCCGTAAATCTTGGCCTCTTATTGGGAAATCGAAATTCGTTTTAAGAAAGCTGTCGGCTGGCGGGCGCTGCGAGCGAACAAGGGAGAGCGCGAGAGAGAGGGAGAGAGAGAGAGAGAGAGAAAGAGAGACGGCCGATGCCGCTTGATTATCATAAATCTGCTTCCGCGATGATCGCGGCGACTATCGGGCGAAGCGTAAGCTCCGGACGTTTACTGCCTCTTCGAGAATGCTTCTCGAAAAGGATCGCTCCTCCGTAGGCTTCGTACGGCTTTAAGAGAGGAAAAAAAGGAAGGAGAAAAAGGAGGGGAAAGAGAGAAAGAAAAAGTGGTGAATACGCGCGCGTTGCGCAAACGGTGACAGCGTCCATTACGAGAGTCACGTCGTGCTCCGTTTTTTAAATCTCTGCGCGAGATAGGCAGGCAAGATTTCTCTCTCACTCTCTCTTCTCTCTTCTCTCGAGTTATGTGTGGTGCGAAGTTAACACGTGCATCTCTCTTCGCGT